ACAAAGTTGTTAAAATTAAAATCATCAAAGTCGTCAAGCTTGGGGAGCTTGGGAGTTTTGGGTTAATAATATTGCTATCACTAGCTGCAATATCGCGCGTGGCAACGCATGGAAACCAAGAATACACTTATATAAAGGAACGTTTTGTACTTACTTTTTCTGGCAGGAACACGAGTCTGAACTCATGTCTCACCTGTAGCTCAGGGGGATCTTGTAACACAATCACCTAAAATATCAATGAAAAAATTAAAATCAAATTAAATTTAAATCAAGCGTGTACTTACCAGTTGGTCAGTTACGTGGCGGCGCGTGTCAAAGACATTTTTGCGGTCGAAGGCAGACTTGCCTTCGGCTGCACGGTATGATTACAATTCTTTTAATCTTTCGACGAGTGTTTCACCAGCGGTATATTACGTTACTTCGTAGTCTATCCATAATTCTTTTTTTACGTCTGGCTGGACGGCTGGACGTCTGGATGTATAGCCAAATTTTCAGATCCAACAACAGGATCTCTTATGGATAAATCACTGAAAATGAATTTCTCTTTCTTTGTTCCTTTTCTGTCTTTCTTTGACAGGGGAGGAGCTGGGACGAAATTAAATTAAATTAAATTAAATTAAATTAAATTAAAAAATTAAATTAATACACAAATGCATTTATTAATGCATCGACGGGAGTAACTCCCAAGGCCCGGGTACCTTACTCGGTACCGTAGATGGGACGCTCGCGACCCATCCAAGAAGATCCTTGGTGGATATTGGGAATCGCATATGGATGAAGTCACTTGTCTGACCTTTCATCCCACCAAGCGGAATGTTTTGGCATCGGGTAGCACTGACGGTCTGATGAATATATTCGACCTGACGCAATCCTCGGAAGATTTGGCCTTGACATCCTCGTTAAATACCGAGTCGTCAGTGGACAGGCTAGGTTGGTTAACCGATGATTCTCTATGGTGTACGACACATACGCATTTGCAATTATGGGAATGCGAAGGTGCTTGTGCGTATGAAACATTCGCGCGCAGTCATTTAGCAGTATCGCGGAAGGATGATCCTGATAATTGTTACTTAGTGAAATTCCACACGACAAATGTGTTTGGACAACCATTTCTGCTGGCGGGTTCTAGTACAGTTACAAGGGAAAATCTAAGATGTTTGAGTATTAGGGAGAATTGTTTGGAAACGTGTTACGAAATTATAGGAAACAAACAAATAGTACGGGACAGCTGGATCCATGAAAAGAGTGGTAGCTTGGTGACAGTCGGCGAGAAAGGCATTATCAACGTGTGGCGACAAGCGGAATCGCCGACACAGCGAGATTCGGATCATAAGTTGTTAACTAAAATTGGAAACGGCCGTGACCGGCATCACAGGATTAAACCCTATTAAAATAAGTATTTAAGGCAAATAATGTAAATTTGTTAATGCGGAAAAGTGTTTTTCAAAAATGTAATCGTGTCACAACGGAATTGGAATAGCAAACGTCGATCGAAACGTCATGATTTTTTTTTTTATTTCCCACAAATTATTGCACAGCACAAAATAGTTATAGTCCGGTCAAATTAGCCCAAAAAATAGGGGTAAGGTTACAATAATTCCGACAGAGCTGAAAATTCGTACGAATGTTCGGAACACCATTCTAAATGAACTGTGAAAAGTCCCCATACATCCCGTGCCTGGAAAAAATTTTATTCAAGGTCAAAGGTGGCAAAAATGGGTTTTTTGTGTTTTTCAGCCGAATGGTAAATTTTATCATAAAAATAGCTTAGACAATAATTGTAGATCGTGCAATTATCTATAATAATTGTCTCTATACTTTTTTCTGTAAGAGTCACCGTTTACGAGATATAATTATTCAAAAAGTTGAAAAAACGGTGTTCTTCATAATATGCATAAGTACGCCGCGTACATACATCACTGGAGGAACACCGTTTTTTCAACTTTTTGAATGATTGTATCTCGGAAACGGTGACTCTTACAGAAAAAAGTATAGAGACAATTATTATAGATAATTGCACGATCTCCAATTATTGTCTAAGCTATTTTTATGATAAAACTTACCATTCGGCTGAAAAACACAAAAAACCCATTTTTGCCACCTTTGACCTTGAATAAAATTTTTTCCAGGCACGGGATGTATGGGGACTTTTCACAGTTCATTTATAATGGTGTTCCAAACATTCGTACGAATTTTCAGCTCTATCGGAATTATTGTAACCTTGAATGTCTAATTTGACCG